CAGTAGTGATTAAGCCATGGAAGTCTCGGATTAGCTTGACCGCTCTTTCTTCCGTATTGTTAATTGCCCTCAGTTTTTGCACCTTATTCTTAGTGTGTTGAAAAGAATTATTATGTCGCAATAAAGTTGGATACTCGACTGAACAAGGAGTTGCTTTTAATTGAAACAAAGTCATATATAGTTTTCTCTTAAATGAAAAAACGAAGAGTAGCCACCACCTAAACATGCTGGTTTTATCCGTCCAACCACGAACATATGTTTTGTGCTTTTCGGCAACTCATCAACATCATCTAGGCTTGGCCTCAGCTCAGGACAACGAATGAAAGCATAGCAACTAACCTCTATCTGATGTATAAGATTCATCGAAACAAGACAGTATAAGGTGCCATCTATTCCCAGAATCGTAGTTTATGCTGGCTTATTTTAACAGTTAACATATTAGGTATATCGAAGCAGTAAAGGAAGACAAAGGAAAATTTATTCGTCAGACTTACCATAAGGTGGTCCAGAAAGTTCTTCTTTCGATTGGATGTAGCGTTTATCATCGGCTAATGGACTTTCTTTCGCTAAATTAACACCAATTTTTACTTTAGTTTCCTGATCTACGTCGTCGTCAAACAGCTTTTGAAATGGTTTTGTCAATTTTTTCGTAAGCCTTCATTGCCTTTAAAAGGCATACATCCTGATTAGATGCTTTTACCGGTAACACCACGGTTTCACTTATGTTGTCACGATGAACAGGTAGATATCTAACAGAGCTGTCTTATCCTTATTAGAAAGTTTGAGCTGGGAACTTAGTAACGCTATTTTTAATGGATAGATTGTTCTTTCTGGCCATCCATCGAGCTTGATGCATGGCGCCTGGCGGTCGAATCTAGAATTTTTTCTCTGAATCTCCGCCAAGGAATATTATTGAAAGTTCTATTAATTCTCGATAGTCGTCTCTAGCAACTTCTTTGTTCAATTCATGTCGATAAAATTCTAGCAGCTTGTCAGTCTCTGAAATATTCAGGCATGATAGCTTTTCAGTATAAATCTGTATTTTCTCGGGATCCACACTTTTCCATCTCTCGCGAAACTTTTTAAATATTGGAATGTTAGGGCTTGTAGTCACTTGGTCGATATTTGATTCAAACACGCCTTTTAACACCGATTCGTAGACGTGATGGCTGCAAGCAAGAAATAAACATTTCTTTATTAAGTTTCTGTTCGAGAAACACGCAGGCGCCTTTAATCAGATCCGTATTTGAAGCAGTAGTATCATAATAAAGACTATGAACTTTAAGATTCCAGTCAATAATTTCATCCCCAAACTACCTGCCTGCTCGCTGCCTGAAGAGTTATCCAACTTGGGCACAACGATAAGTTGCTCTTTATTTTTATACGTTATAACAATTGGTTCTTTAGACTTGCTTGTATTTAAAGGGTGGCAACAATTTGCTCTCCCAGTGGACAGTTACAGTATCCGGTACCTCGATTTGGAAATAAAGCTTTATAGCTTCTGCGCGCTCCTTTCGCTTTTCGGTACGAATTCTTTGAATGCAGGACTTCCAAAGAAAACTCGTCAGTATTATGTCCAAGTGCCTCAATGGTTGCTTCAATATTAAAAACAACATTTCTCATACTTAACTGAAGCCTATCTAATGCTGCCACTAATTTTGGGGTTATGCAACTTTTACTCATTTGAGTTTGATTAGTATCATCTGTATGCTCCGAGCTGTGATGGGCAAAGTTTCTTGTAAATCTATCTCGGAATCTGAAGATGAATTTTCTTGTACTGGTTCGTGAGATGATGTCGAAGGAGTTGAGGAAGAAACATATTTAGCTCGCCGCATTTGTTCTTCGGTGTTTCTAAGATGCGCATTTTCTTCTTTTATGGCTAACTTCTTGTCCACCCTAGTTAAATGACCAGGTCGCCCTGGCTCTCTCTGCCGCTGAAAGAAGATCGCGTCTTAATTTATTTCCATCAATTGAAGGACATCGACATGCACAATATAAATTGTCCAAGTTCGTAACAAACTCTTGTCGACGCTGCTCAAACACTTCTTGTGTTTTGCTTGCATTTTTTGCAAATCTCTCCAAACTTGGTACAAGCTAGTTTCTCAACTCAGTTAGGTAGAGATTTAGTCGGTATACGTGTCTTTCCCCAGTAAATAATGCACTCACGAATAGTAAGGTTGGCGCTTCCATTGACGCTTAATTTCACTTCCCAGATATTATAGAACAGAACCGCTAGTACTTGTCCACCAGAGGGAAGTTTTGTGTATTTCTGAAGTGTTGTTACTCGTCTGTACATTCATTGGGCTTTGCTTATGACGTTGTGATAATCTGGCTGTCACTAGAACATCGATCTTAGTTACGAAATTATTATTCTTTATGGTGAGGGACTATCAAACTCCTATTAATTTGTGTCAAGACAATTTATTTATGAGTAAATAAATAAGTGTAATATAATAAATAGCAAGAATTTGTAACAGATACACCGCAAAAATACTCTAGCATCTCAGCTTAGCAGCTCCTCAACCTCAAATGCATCAGAAGTATTGATTGGTCAGTCAGGACTTAACGAGGTGCTGGCCGCTGTCGGCGGAAGATAAAAAGCCTTGCAACGCTCAGGGACGTCTAACAGGCTATCCGTGTATATTCCATAGAATCTTACAGCAACTTTACGTGATTATATTGATACTTTCGTTATCCATAATTGCATTACAAAAAAAATTTTTTTTGATCATTATTTCTGAATTACTTGACATGCATGTTCATTTGAAAACTTCCCACCACGGACTTATCGAAAACCACCAATTAATAGAAAACACGCCGAAACGCATCAAAAGATTTGTCAAGGTGGACAACTTTTTAACCAAAAACTACTTCTCCCCCTTTCACCCTCTGCCACCAGGGTCACCCCTTAAAAATTTCCAAAAACAAGGGGTATCTACTAGTAGTTTGTTTGAAACTGCTTTTAAAGTCCTTTATTTTGACTTTGACTTTTTAAATTCGGTCGATTCGTTTTCAAGAAGATTAGATAAATCATTATTTATGTTAATTTGTTCAGATAGAAAACAAATACACACGAAAATGTCACTTTTTATTCCAATGAGTGTTCAAAATGTTGCCCGTTATTGACCAAACAATGATATAGGCGATGTTCAAATTCCTGACGGACATTTTCGAAAACATGTTGTGGGATATCATGGCAGCTTTCGATGATTCGTTGACGAAATTCATTCAAACTTTCAGATTGGAGAGTAAACACAGTAGGATATCTAGCAGCAAGCCATTCTATAGGTCCTCTTCGCCCTATACATTTATCTGGAAACTCGTCGTCTAGCCATTTCCGAACCGGAAGAACATAGTGAGGAGGAGCGCCGCCGTCTTGCTGGAAGTATATTTCAGCCTCATCAAGTATCCATCCTCTTCAATTTGGTTTTCAATGGTTTCTGTGATAAGCGGATTGATGGTATTTTGCAACATATCCAAATAAATGTCTCCATTCGAATTTCCATTAATAACCAATTTCCCAATCACTTTGTTTCCTACAATGCCTGCCCATACATTATTTTTTTGGGGGTACTGGGTGAGCCCTTCTACAGAACCATGAGAATTTTCATTGCTTCAATACCTGCAGTTATGTTTATTAATAAATCCATTCCGATAAAATGTGCATTCATCACCAAAGCGGATATTCTTTACATGAATGGTATTACCATTAATCGCTGCATTTGTTCACAAAACTCATGTCGCCTATAGAAATCGTCTTCGGTTAACTCTTGCAATATTTTCATTTTGAATGGATGAACTTTATGGAGTTTAGTAACTGTGTGTACAGACCCTAATGAAGTACCAGTCGCAGCTACAATTTTGCATAATAAAGTATTAGGATCTATTCCAAAACGACCCACAACTTCAACTTGAGCGGCTTCATGCAAAACTACCCGATGATCGCGTTATTTATTTGCAACAAATCCAGTTTCAGTAAATTTAGTAACAAGGTCCAAAACATACCTATGGGCACCATACATTAGAATAATTTCCACTCGTTCGGCTAGTGTGTAGACCATTTTGGAAGTGAAATCTGAATCAATAAATTAATTTTCACTATCCCGAGATTGTCACAAAGGTAACTCACAGCAAAATAAATTCTTTCTCCCCCTTAGCAACAAATATTTGAACAGAGTATAACAATTAATTCAGTTCGCCCAGGATGTCTGTGTTGATGAAAAGAATACGGAAGAATTCGGGTTGTTATTTGGTTGTTGCCACGTCTAATCTTCCAAATTGCTGTTTATGTTGTTAGTTTCAGTTTTAAATTACAAATGAATTGTAGATTTGGCAAAGCCTAATGGGCAAGATTTTGACACTTATTGAAATAAAAAGTCTGTTTTTGTTTTCTATCTGATTCAATCAAGATCAAACGTCAAAAGAGCTTTAAAATAACTCAATACACCTTATCATTCAAAATTTTCAAGGGATTTACCCTGAGGGGCGAGGGTGAAAGGGGTTGAAGTAGTTTGTGGTTAAAAAGTTGTCTCCCTTGACAAATCGTTTGACGTGTCTCGATGTTTTTTCTTTTAATCCGTTGTTTTTTTATAAATCCGTGGTGGGAAGTTTTCAAATGAACATCCTGTATAAAGATCATGCTGGAATTTACACGATTCCAGCTGGGTTTACGTTATGAACGACACAGCTTCTTTGCAAAGATCAGCTAGAGTAGCAGCTACATTTCTACGTATAGTTGTCTATTTGCTCGATAATATTGCATGAACAACGTTCTAACCGACAGTTTGGTCAAAAGTGGGATTTCTATAAAACAAGGATCTGTGTATCCATTCGCATCCTCCCTCTTTTTCAAGCTGAGAATCACAAATTTAATCGGTGTCCAGATGTCTAAATGATTCAGCGAATCTTGATATTCACGTAACGACGTTGTATGTGCACGCGCCGACAGGTCTCAGCAAATTTGTTTTCGCAACTATCACAGCCCACGTGGTTTCTGCAAGATGAACGCTAGTTTATCAGAGTCTATTATCAGTCATATAAAGAGGTAAAAAACGAAAGCTAAAAATTGACACCTGGAAGCAGACTGTAAGAAAACAGTAGAGGGATGCAGGAGAAGCTTACATTTCATCGAGAAGCGTACCTAAGGCTGCGTTAAGCCACCCAGAAGAGGTAAGATTTATTAACAGTTAAAAGTGTCCACAGACGATGCACATTATTATCCAATCTTTCATAGTGTACAAAAAATATTGACCGTTTTTTGTGTAAGGTGTTTAATACACAATATGCAGGGTGGACACCGACATATTCTTCTCATTTTCACTCATGGCTTGGGCCTGTGACCATTCTGGCGGTATGGGATATCGTGTAATGTGCGCATTTTTTTTATAAACGTGTCTGCAGATGTCCTCAAACCTCCAGAGGATGTAACGCCGATTTGCTCGTTGGAAGGCATGTGAGTCTGTTCCAGAAATTTAGGAAGCTTGATTATGATGGTCAGTCGCAAAATCTGTCGCAAATCATATCCCTCCAAGAACCAGAACGTAGGAGAGTTGAGGAAAATGTATCTCGTAGACATTGCACTGTAAAGTACAGTATTAATTACACTCAAGTATGTACCTAGAGGAACAGATTGTTATATATTCTCAATTACGCCTAGAAGACTTATTGGTAAACTTAAAGCGAACATAAATAACCCTCAAGATCAACGTGGAAAGCATCTCAATCGTCCTAAAAAGTTGAAAAACACGGACGTAGGTCTGATTTCCGATCAGCAGATCTAAATATCTCAAAAATGTTCAGACTTTTTAAGCAGAAATACCCTGATGCAAATAATATTTCCTTGAGGGTTTATCACGACATTTTTAAGAGCAAGTTCAATCTGCGATTTGCTCTACCAAGATCTGACACATGTTCGTATTGTGACAAGCTGTTTATGAATTTTTGTTCAAATGATGACGCTAATGAAAAGAAAAGAAGTGAAATCGAGAGTGAAATCCACCATAGAAAAGCTGAAACGGGTTATAAAACATTGAAAGATGATACCGATACATCTAAACTCAATCCCAATTATGTTGTGTTGTGCACAGATCTGCAACAAGTGCTTTTTTGTCCCAATTTAACACATTCATCTGTATTCTACCAAAGGCAATTCTCAACATATAACTATGCTGTTCATAATATGGGGGAGGAAAACGCAAAAATGTTACTATCGCATGAAGCAATGGCACACTGGGGATCTACAGAGATTGCTTCAGCACTACTATTCTATATTACTAACAAGTACAGTCGTCAAAAACCAAGTGAAGAAAGAAAACTAGTTGTATGGTCTAACAGGTGCGTGGGCCAGAACAATAACTGGAAAATGCTGCGACTTCTAGTTTTAGAAAAGTTCTTTATGCAAGCTTTTTGCCGTGTGATAGAGACTTTGCTCTCATAGAACGACAAAAAAAAATCTCTAAAGTATTTGTTACCTTACAGTGGGCTGATGTTGTCGCTAAGTCGAAGGTATCCAATCCATTTAAAGTGATCTTCATGCATCGATCTTTTTTTAAGGATTTTCAGGCAGCGGAAAATGTTATATATTTAGGCAACAGCGGTGGCCGCAGTAGTAGACTCTTCGGTCTCCTGATCAGTCGCCGTGCGCTGTGCGGGTGCGAGTCCCGTCCCAGGAGAAATGTTTTCTCTTGGCTATGGATGTTGTGATTGTCCGTAGGTGGTAGACGGTCTCTGACTGTCGAACGCGGAGGTACCACCCGGCGGTTCTCGTAGGCGGAGCCAGAATGTGTGGATGTTGCGTGCACACGTGTTCCCTCGCCAGAGTCCGTGTGGCGTTCCCCCTTTCCCATGTATCCCCCTATAGCCCCACGGTACCCAATGGGTGCTTAGGCCTTTGGTCTTCGCGGTAGTTGGAGTATAAAAAAAAACAATCCTTCATGTAAAATCATTCAAGTAATGTGGTTGCAAATGACCGCAGATGATATGAATACTTTACGAGTAAGAAAGTCCCACAACACACTTCAACCATGATTTACTTACTTGTTGAAGTCGCGCAAGAAATTAGTACAAGAAGTAGCGATAAAAGACCTTGAAGAGGACTTATAATGAAGCACTTTCGATCAAAAAGGAAAAAAAGGCAAACCTGATGGATATGTGTGACTATATCCCCTTAAAATATGTTAATTTTTATGAAAACCTGAAAGTTGTTTAAAACCATCAAAATGTTATCCATTTGCGTCATGTTTATTGTAGCACCAACTGTGTTGGTTCACTGTATCTCAATAAAAAAAACTTTGACCCAATAAGCGTAAAAGAAGGTCGTAAATGACTCGTTTCCGTGTAAAAACGTTGTGAGTGACATGTATATATAACGTTGTTTTGGGGAATTTATTTTCTAAGGCTCTTAATTTGTGAAACATGGTTTATAAAAAGATGTTGTGTTCCTCAAATATATTAAAATATCGATTAGTAAATAGTCTGTCTGTGTTCTTTTTTTAATTTGGGAGTAAAACATAGAAAAGCATTTTTTTCGTTTTTCTCAAAACTAAACTTTTGGCGGTTAGAACGTTGTTCCGGCATTCCCTTCAATTACTAAAATGCTACTTCGCATGAAAAAGAATTTGTATTACGTGACTTTCTCTCAAGCGAAATCTTAGCAGCTGGTCGATCAAACTATACTGGGTTCCCAGAATAAGATGTCAGTCTCTTGGGATCATATAAAATACACTAATATAGTGCCATAAGTTCTTATGAAGGAGTTTCCTGTGGAGCTCTCTTACCAAGATACTGACTCCTAAAGGACGTCACTGTAAATCGATATTTTCTAAATAACCTAACTATAACTCATTTCACGGTTTTTAGAGGGTCACACTCAAACTACTGACATCATTTTTATATCCATCTTCCTCACACATACATATGCAATCTGCTTATATGCGTGAACGAACGTTTATTTATGTAAGTTCAGACATATGTTCTTTAGCTTCTTCTGGTCACTTCGAAAATGTTCTTGCCGAAGTATAAGTATTCGTTATCTAAGCTTGTCACTGTCTCAATGTCAGTGTGACAACCCACCTGACATGCATGGGCATATCGTTTTGAATTTACCTTTTATTGAACTATGTAACATAAAACATACCTCAAAATGCAATTAATGTATAAATATCGTTAGTTATTGCCAAAGTTATTAGAGTATTTTGAGAACGCTATTGAAAACAATGGTCCTTCAATAATCAATTCATGTGTGCAAGAGCAGCTGCGTTTAAGGTCGATTTGCTCAGTGAGCAATTTTCCTATGGAGCTCCAGCTCCGCACATGGTTTAGTTAGTCGATTTGTTTACTTATTGAGTATGACACTAATAACGTAACCGCAAAAAGACATGAACATGACTATATGATGATTCAACGAAATTTTTACAGCATAGTAACTAACCAGAGCTTAGGTTTTGACTGTATAATAATCGCTCAACAATAATATTTTTGGAAACCCTGATATTTTAGCTGAAAAAAAATGTATTCCTGTTCCTAGCAACCTGAACGAGGTCGCTGTTTCCATAGACATCATCATATGAGGACCCAAATGATTACTAATCTGTCAACATTTTGTTCAATTAAGCAGTTATTTGAAGTATCTTCTTGTAATTTTGATAATTACTGCTATAAATGATGTTGTTTTTTTATTTCAGCTATTGTCTATCCATTCTTGTAAGCCTAGTGTATCCAGTATTTCCTACAATCTTTTGGTGGTTTTCTTTTGAATGACTATTTTAACACCCATTCCATTTTTATAAGATTTTTTTGTGTGTCCCATATGGTGCTGAGAGATTGGCATCTTATTTACAGACACCCTATATAGCTAGTCAGTCTTGTCATAAGAGGTCTATCCGAATACTCGTATATAAGAAAATATACAGTCTTTTTCATTTTAAAGATGCATACTTACCACGTTGTCATAGAGCACCCTGTAGAGAGTGGCATTTAACCAAGGATTTCATATCTGCTATGATACCAAAGCTTTCTTCCAAATAACACACAATAACTTACCGTAAAATATATAAATCCTACTGTTTAATAGATAAATAGGTATCTGCCAAATCCAACCTTCAGGTAACACTTTAGAACTTTAGTAGTGTGCTGGATTTTACGATTAATTACTTATCCAGAATGTGAAAACAAATCTTGCACCCACGTCACGCGCCCGTTGACTCTCTACAATGATATGTATGTAACGTTTAACGGCACGCAAAAACCAACAACCGTTAATGAGCTAATTATAATGCAATGAATTTACACGCCGACACCATCAGCACAGAATATTGCGAGTGAAAGGTGATGGCAAACAGCTAAGAGTTATTCATGTTTAACCTTACTTGATTCATACGAACACCTACCACCAGTTTGTCGATCAAAATGACGCCCAAATATCCCTCCCTCTAGCATGATTCCAACAATCTTTCATTTGGCATCTTGTACAGTACTACGGTTTAAAGAACATTGACAGATTCTGACGATTTTCTTAAGTGGTATATCCATGCAGAATGGGTAAAAGCTAGGGCTATTTGTTTAGGACTAAGAAGTACTTTTCTCCGCATGACCTCCTCACTCTATACAAGGTCCAGATAAGGCCTAACCTCGAGTATTGCTCACACGTTTAGGATGCTGCCGTCCCGACTACATTACTTATGATCTATGCTGTCCGAATGATCGATGACTCTTCTCTAACAGATAGTCTCGGGAAATGTCACACCGGCGGGCCGTAGGCGATCTATCTCTCTTCTACCGCTACACCGACGGGCTTTGCTCCTCAGAGCTCTCCTACATGATGCCGCCGCGTGATGTGCCTGCCAGACAGACCCGCCTGACTTTGGCCTCCCATCCTGACCGTGTCGAATCGATACGGCCGGTCCTTTGTCCCGAGGGTGACGAGATTGTAGAACAATCTACAAGAGGAAGTTTTTCCCAGTTCTACTAACCCAAAGCAGTTCAAAAATCGGATTGACAAAATTTCTTTGGGATCCTCATAGCAGCTGCGTTGCCCTGGCTACTGCCTGCGGGGCTACTTCGGTATGAAAAAAAAACAAAAAAAAAGTGGCAGAAGACCCATCAACTTCAGTACGTTTGATCGACGACGTACTGGCTATCTAAATCGCAAGCAACGTATTTTGAAGAGGTATGAATACCACCCGTACCACATCCAAAGGGTTCAAACGCTATCAAGCATTGATTATGCTAAACGTGCTTCGTTTTGTGAGGTAATGCTGGAGAAGCATCAGGAAGATTCAAACATTTTCCACAGCGTTTTGTGTGTCGGTGGTGGACATTTTGATAATCTATTGTGAAAATAATAGTAATAATAATCATTTATTTCAGGCAATATTTACATTTCAAGATGTTAATTTAATTTTCATTTAGTTAATTTAAGATGTTAATAATGATTCATAATTCTTCATTTGATTTGAATGTTATAAGAATCAATGGAAATAAAAAAATACAACGTACTATTTTGATACTCGGCTACAACAATGAATAAAAAAGTATAATGGATCGCTGTTTTAGACTTTTGCTGAAATAAAAAGCGGTTACAGCAACTACAAAATTGCAATTTGGACACAAAAGACAGCTGCACTTATTATTTTTTATTTGTAGTGTTTCGCAAGTATTACGACTTCAATGACAAAGCTTGGAATTATTCAGTTTTTGTAAACAGAACCTGCAAATGTTATAGTATTTTTGAAAGAGCATTAAATAACTAGTTTTTAAGGTCATTTGCTGATTCAGTCTGGTACATTTTTTTCACAGTCATTAGTAAAAGTTTATTAAAGGTTTTCGCATTGAAACTAAATGTAATAGGTAATTTAGTTTTTTACCGTGATAGTTTTCAATGAAATGAATGCACAGTTACCAACTATTAATGGTAGCAAGGAAAAAAATCATAATCTAGAAGTTATAACACCCAAAAAGGAGTAAAGAGTAGGGATTTTTTGAAAAAACTTGAAAGCGGCAATATCTCGAAAACTAGAAAACTTTTGCTAAGGTCATGTTAATTTTATCTGATTGATCTGAAGCCAATCTACCTCCCGTGTCACTCTGACGTGTTATTACTAGGACACCCTGTATATATTCGATCTACCGCTGGTAATCATTGCAGTATTCAATTTTTCACCGATGATCCACAAATGTATAATCATTTCCAATGTCCTAATATCCAAACTGCTGTATCTGAGGTCAATGATGATTTAAAATCCAACAGCACATATGCAGAGAATCATAATCTCCAGCTGAACCCTTCAAAATCAAAAGTCATTATTTTTTCACCGAAACCGTTTAGAAATGACGTG